AGTTAATCTTTTTCAATCACATATTTTAATTGATCTTCATGTACTATTCACTTTTTAATCACACATTTCTTTTTATTTATAAATTAAAATGTGTAAAAATGCTTCCCAAGCGGATAGTGTACTTACTTAGCACATAATTTCCTTAATTGATATTAGATATGTAAAAATCGGTTGACCGGTTCAAACCTATTTTTCAAACTATTGAGCAAGAAAGGTATGATAAAGTAAAAGAAGCCAGTTACTTTGCTAGGCCCCTTCTTCATAGGAGTTTTCCAGGCCCTCACACAAAAGTAGGTGGGGTCAACAATTTTGTAATTTTTTTTATTACAAGTGGGTCAGACTTGGGACCCACCTTATTGTGAGGAGACTGTATAAGGCCTGTACTTCAAAGTAAATTGTGTGTTAAGGCAAAAGTTTTTTTTTTTTTTTTTTAACAAGGTGTCCGAGCTTGCGTCCGACTAGATCCTTGTCCTTGAACTTCCGGCCCCTCAGAAGCTCAGGGAGGTAAATCGCAGGATGTGCCCTTGTTGGCTCCCAGGTTCCCACAACTCATTTGGACTCCTTCCGCAAAGAGAGCTCTCCTCACTGGGCGTTTGTTCACACCAATGACTTCCTCTCCATATGGCTCCCAGTGTTAACTCCAGGAATCGAACTCCCCACCCTTGCTTCCAGCGTTCCAGCGAAGTGATTGTTCCACCAACTCGAATGTGCCCTGGGGGGCGTTAATGCAAAAGTTCTCAATGGGTGGACAGGTCAAATGAAAATTAATTTTGTTTGTGGTAGTACATTTTCTCGTAGATACAAGTTGTCACATTCAAGTTTCTTTGAGTTTAGCCTCATGTTTCAATTATAATATTAATAGAGTAGTGCATTAGAATTTTGTTCTTTGCCTTGACAAATCGTACTTTTGACCACCTTCTAATTTTATTAAATATTTGGACTTGATATGTGACACTTCGAAAAATTCAATGTTGTACTCTAAATTAATAATTAATGAAAAGTTCATGTGAAGGCAAATTATTTTATATATCTTTATTTCTTTTACGTCAATTCAATGGCAGATCGAAAATATATCAAGTTTAGACTAATTTTAAAATTATAGAGTAGCTGGAATTCCTTCGAAGATGATGTCAAACTTTGAAAAATTCGACTTCAACATTTACCGTTGAATGTCGGTGGTCGATAAGAATTTTCTACACTTGAGAAAATAGGAAATATAATTGCAGTTGCATGGAAATTCTGGAATAAACAAACCCTTTGATTTCCCATTTTCAACCTATTAAGATAAATGAATAAATAACAAAAGTAAACAAAAAGTCAATAACCAAAGAAAAAATCTATTTACGTATATAGCAATTACAAAAAGCTTTATAGACAATGTAATAGCGGGCATCTACCTTCCTTGTATAACGTTAAAGTGCTTGTCATGTGAACATTATGAAAGGATATAAACAAAATTGTACAAGGAGCAAGCTCCATAATATGAAAGCATCAGAAGGTTGACCTAATTACTAAGAATTTCCTAACTTACCAAAAATAAACAAAGAAATCATAAATAAATTAAAAGAAAAAAGTGTTTTTAATTTCAAATAATTTCCATATTGATCATGATTCCCACAATGAAATTTTGTACCCTGTTATTTAGACAATATATTAAGGCATGCAATGGTTGCTTTCTTCTAAAAGACATTTTTTGTGTTCTATTTATCATTTGGTCATGCCTTTATATGTCTGACATACTTATGATATGTTACTTTATTAAAAGTACTTATCACAAGCTTGAGATTAGTTGATGCCTAGCTCCCTTATTTACAGCGGGTGGCTCTTATATCTTGTTATAGTTTAGACATGACTATGTCATATTTAGTACTTAATCAATTGTGTTTCTAGTTAATCTCAATTTTTTTAATTTTAAGTTTGTATTTAACACATATTGCCCAAATATAACTCTTGAAACTCTAAAATGTTAACCTAGTATTCAATCTCAAGTTAAAATGTCACGTCATATTGTTGCGTAAAAAATCTCGAGGGGTATCTCAGTGATTAGGCCGTGGATTTGCTCCCCAGTGGTCATTAATTCGAATTCCCTCATGGCCACTGAGATGTTTATCTGACTGTAAACTTCAGGGTCCAGTGGAATTAATCGAGGTGCACATAAGCTGGCTTGGACACCCACAGTCATTAAAAAAAAAAAAAGGTAATATTGTTGTGTAACATGAGTTAATAATAATATTTCTTAGAATAGGCTTAAGATTGCGTAGCTCAGCATCAATTATTGATTATTTGGGTACCCACAAACTACATTTCTAACAATTATATGTAGCAACTACAAATCTTCTCAGCTCTTAAAAGGGGAAAAAAAAAAAAGGAGTTCTTCAAATTAATTCTTTTTATTTTTTAATGAAATAGCACAATAATAAATTTCATGTAATTTTTGTAGTCATAAATAGTTCGTAGAAGTAGTTGCTGTGAAAATGATGTATCTGACATAAAAGTGGGTGGCCATCTTTGTATACCATTTAAAAACAACGTTGATATCGCAGGTGGAATTCATTTTTCAAACAAGTGGCAAGAAGTAAAAAATCTCGTAACCAAATTGAGACTAGTATGAATGAAACGAAAGTAAAGATAAAAAGTAGATAAGTAAATAAGCCGTTTTTTCCTTCCCTCCATTATTGCCGCAAGGAAGGCGAAGTTAGCAATTGGTGGGAAAGGGCGAATTTCCTTCTTAGATCAATCGTGAAAAGTCTTATGTATGAGCATTTGTTCGACAAAAATTTGGGTGGCCATCTTTGTACACCCCATTATTATTCAGCTGCTTAATAGCATCCAATTATATCCATCATAGGACAAAACAAATGGAGAATTCAGTCAATTCACATTTAAATATAGACAAATGACACTATGGGTTGTTTTTCTATTAATGTGATATTATTGAGCTATTAATTGTTATTCTTGTGACATGTTATGTAGGTAGACAACGATTCTAATATTTAGGAAAAATAAAATAAATATACTAGTATGTGTATTATTCAATAATGAACAAATTATAAATTGAAGACCATTCGCTTGATTTTACGAAAATCTATATGTATTATCTTGCATAATCTTGATATTAAGTAAATAAAATTTCAAAAAAATAAAAAAAATAATAATAGTAATAAAATATGTTTACATTCAAACACAAAATGAGTCCATCAAGTTATCCATTCACTTGCATACTGTTATAAATTAGAGAGAACGAAAAGAGAAAAGTAGAAAATAAAAACGGTAAAAACTCTCATAAGTAATTTATTGAGAATCAAAGTTCTTGTTTATAGGTTGGAGTTAGAGTTGCAAATATATAATGACCATTCAGAAATAAATTATTTTACAATACTCATGAATGACTATCATCACAACCACCACCCTATTAAAAACCTTGTTAGAGACAAACTAAGGGAAAAAATGTAGGGTTAATTGTAAAAGAATTTGGAGTGTCAAGATATTGCCTCAATAAAATCTTTTCAAGAAATTTCAGTAGGATACTACATGGATGAATGAAAAAGAATAAAATTATTTCCCCTAAATGTTGATCACTGAAGAATATTTGTGTTGAACATCAATATATTGTATGCCAATGTCTTTATTGCCACAATTCTAATCAAATATTTTCATTTTGTCTTGTTGCAACATCGAAGTAATATTATTTGAATAAAGCTAAACGTACGAACATTGTCAAAATCCAAACTTGTGATATAGAAAATAATTTTTTAAAGCGGATAAATATGATGATGTCAAATAGGATATTGGCAACCAACATTATCAACAAACAACATACATATAGCATGATTCTTCAGGGTTAATAATTCAAACGGTCACTGAACTTTGTAAGAAATTTTCACGGGATCACTAAACTTTAACAATCACCAAAGTCATTACAGATGTTTGCAAAAGGTTTACATGGGGTCACTGAACTTTAAAAATTACTTCATTCATCACTACACTTTGCAAAAAATTTCAACGAGATCATTGAACTTTGCAAAAAGGTTTTCAAGAGATCACTAAATGGGAAACCTTTGGCAAAGTTTAGTGATGAATGTGATGATTTTTAAAGTTCAGTGACCTTATGAAAACTTTTTGCAAATTTCAATGACGACTTAGGTTATTTTTAAAATTTAATGACCCTATAAAATTTTTTTACAAATTTTAGTGACCATTTGAGTTATTAACTCGCACTATTCATATTATTTTCTTACAAGATATTGACCTGTCAGTCCGTCACTATTTGATCCAGTCAACATGATGATAAAATACAATTCCATCGCAAACAAATATTACTATTACTCTCATCATGAGTCTCGCACTTGATTTGCAATGCATGAGACTAAAACAATGGAGTAATGAGGGTAAATGTAGGCTGTTGACGTCTGTAACAACAAATATTTATGACTCTTTAGATGTTTATTATATAAATAATATGCATCGCTAAAACTTTCTTTGAAAAAAATATGTGAAAAATCTTTGATATATTTTACGAGTTTATAGACTTGACAAATGGGTCCAAATAATTTAAGCACGACCAGGTTGAACATTGCAATTATTGGTCTTCAAGGAGAAAGTCCTCATAAGAGTTTGTTGTCAGCTCACACTAACTGAGTTTTCCCCTTTGTATACATCACCCATCACTCCTACTGACTAAAAGGTCCGAGCACACATTTGTTGGGATAATGCTGTGTGTACATTTGATGGTGTACACACAACCTTATATCCCCTTCACATGGAAGGAGGGTCCACAAATATTATATTATATATGGGTCCCCTCCTTGTGAGGAGAGTGTAAACTTATGTGTACATTATTGTGTGAACACAACACAACCTTATTTGTTGTACTTAGTTTATACATTCCCTCTCTATTTTGTGACGGTTTCTTCGGAAGAAAGAAAATAAATTAATTAATTAAAAAAAAAATGGATTTTATGGCTGTTAAAAACGAAAGAATTAAAAGTTTGCTTATCGAGAAGGAACACAGAATCAATTTTCAAGTCTGTAGTACGATACTCAGGATCCTCAAGTCTTCTCCTTCAAAATCTCTCAATATTTCATCAAAAATCCAAATCAAGCTGCAAAATATCCAAGAAAACAGATCGTTCTTAAAATTCAAATGGGCATCTTGAATTTCCTCAAATTTACTCTTTTATGCATTGATTTTCTTGCCTGGTAAAATCTTACACTTTTACCTCCGTTTGAAGTAAAAATGTTGATCAGTCTGAAAAACCCAGTTTTTCACGCTGTGTTTGGATCTTTGTATACTGATCCCTTTATTTCTTTTTCTTGTTCTATTTTTGCTTTAGTCTGTTAGTATACATTTGTACGATGTAAAGTATGTCCATACGTACGTATGCATGTATTTTTGTACGTATACTTATATTTTTTTGTCTGAATATTACTTGCAGGCCTGTATTTGCTCTGGGCTATCCTCTGTAAGCTCCACCTTTTGTGTGTGTAATTTTATTTTATTTTTTTCCTGTGGTACTTTTTATGATGAAATTTAATCATTTCTTGGATTGTTTCAGATGTGCTTCAATCCGAGCCATTGAAACGGGCTCCAAATATCACATGAGAAAATTGGTCATCTATTGGGCCCTTTTTTCTCTCATTTCTCTGTTTGAACTTGCTTTCATCAAACTCATTGAGTGGTATGTTTTTGTTGCTATAATTCTCTCATCTATAGTAGACTCCTATTCAATATTGCATGCCAAATATGCATTCGAGGCTACATGACACAATTTCCTTGTGTTATTTCAGGATACCACTATGGTCTTTTATAAAATTCGTAGCCATCTGCTGGTTAGTTATGCCTCGGTTTGATGGTGCTTGCTATGTTTACCAAAGGCTTGTGAATACTTGCTCGAATGTCAATCTTCGAGCTTTAGTCAGCCGGCTTTGCAGACCAAACGAGGATCAAAGCCTTACGACAGAAACTCTCGTGGCAGTGACAGAGAGATACGTTAAAGAGAATGGTTTGGAAGCCTTTGAAAACCTTATGAAAAGCAAGGTCAGTTACAAGTTACATGTTCGTCTATGTAGAGCTTAAAGTTTTCTTAATTTTGGGCTATGTTTGATGAATTGTTTAAGTAACATATTCATGTTATGTCTTTTTGTTTATGGTAACATAAAGAAGTAAAGAACTGTTTATAATTTAAGTTGGTGAAAATAATTAAAGTTAAAACTTGTTTTCGTAGTTCTTTGTTCATTCTCTAATGATCCATTTGTTTCTCTAAAATTAGCTTAAATGCATAGAACCTGATAACATTCAGAAAGATATCGAACAGCTGGAATCAAGAGATAAAATTGATGCAGATACTCAAGAACAGGTAAGATTAAGCACTCCTGCCCGTCTCTTTATAATGCCTAGCCTGTGTTAATTTTTGAAATCGAACTCCTTAAAGTGCCATTTGTTATATTCTCAATCTAGCCAAAGTGCGAAGAACCCGAGGTTGCTGAGAAGGACATTAATGCCTTAGAACCAACTGAGAAAATATCATCAACTACAGAGGCACAGGTTAGATTCCTTGTCATGCGCGTTTTTGGTTTTGCTGTCTTGAAATGTTGTGATTTTCTCTCTATGATTTTGTACCGATTGATTAATCAATGACTACGTGTTATCTTGTCTAAAGAAAGGACAGTTTTTAAGAAAGCATGTTCGTTAATATCTCTTCATTACCCTGTTATACACATTCAGCATGCAGATGCTAAGATTTCAGAAGCAGCAAATGAGAGAAACCCTGAAGTACCTGTGAAAGTCCAACAAGAATGGGCTTGTGCATTATATCAGGTGACAACCACAAGCGAGAAGGATCTGAATTGCCATCTTCAGGGGAGTAAGCACAAGTCCAAGTGCGAAACACTGAAAAGAAGCAAACAAGATACGAAAAGTAGAGGTTCTTTACCATCCACGTCTCATAAATCAAAGTGCGGGAACCTTGAGCCAGAAAAGGGTAATATCGGTGAAGGATCAAAGCAAAATTTGAACAGAAACACAGAGGAAATAGTTCAACCTCATGCGGAAAGTGATCAACAGACCCAGAAGCAAACAAATCTCAATGGTGCTGGTAGTAATCAGACACCTGAACTGTGGTGCCATGTATGTAAAGTGAAGTTGCTTAGTAAGATTGACCTCGCTTCTCATCTTCAGGGGAGGAAGCACTCGACTAATATTCAAAACTTATTCGATAGTTATGTTATTAAGGGTGTGATTTCAGAAGAGATCAAGAACCAGCTTGCGCGACCAAGTTGGTAACCTTTGTTTAAGTCTCATTTGGAGAGGGTGTGGCGTTTGTTGCAACTTGAAAAAGGTGGTGTTTCGTTAACTTTAATTTCTAGCGAATGAGAAAATTTGGACAATGTTGACATATCAGAATCAATCACTTTCATGTTCATCTAGCTATATTTTGACTCTACATTTAATTTTCTGTAATCATCAAGAGAGATGTTAACGCTACTCGAGGATATTCGAAGTTGGACAATGGAAAGATGTTTGGTGGTAAATTTCACTTTATTAAACTATCAAAATAGTACTTCATATATAAAGATTTGTGCTGCTCCTATTATTTAAGTTGACCTTTTAAAAGGGTATTAGTGCTTATTAAGCTCAAACAAATAATTCAATCCGACCATAAGACAAACAAGCACATTGATTTCAAGACTCGTGTTCTGAAATGAGCCACATCTTACGATGTATGTTAAAGGATGAAATTTACATCGAATAATTAAATATATTAACCAAAATATAGAATTCTGAACTACTCTTAAAATTGACCTTTTAGGATGGAACATTGAGTCATAATAAATGTTCAAGTCCTAGACCTTATTCCTCACTTGAGAGGATGACATGACAATGTTTGGTTACCTCCAACAATTAGGAATATTAACCAACATACAAAGGTTAACAACTTGACTTTCCAAATATAATTCAGTATTCTAACAAATATATGTAACAATTACAAATCTTCTGGTGTGAAAATGATGTATTGGACAAAAAATTGGGTGGAGAACGATTTGTAAGTAACGAAGAAAGCATAACTAAATATATTGTTTCTTTCGCTGCCCTACAATCCTGTCACAAGAACGCAAAGAACAAACTTCCTTCCTAGACTTACTGTGAAAAGTCTTCTGTATGAGCATTTATCAGACAAAAAATTGGGTTGCCATCTTTGTACACCCATTTAATGACCATTATTATACTGTTATACAGCTGCTTTATAGCATCCAGTTATATCCATCATAGTCAAATCACATTTTAATATCGACAAATGACACTAAGGTTTATTTTTCTTTTATGTGAACAATGTAATATTATTGATCTATTAATTGTTATTCTTCTGACATGTTTAGTGGGTAGACAACAATATGTGTGTGTGTTATTCAATAATGAACGTACTATAAATTGAAGACCATTTGCTTGATTTTTCGAAAATCTATATGTATTATCTTGCATGATTTGGATATTAAGTAAATAAAATTTGAAAGAAATAAAAATAAATAAATATATGTATACATACATACACAAACAAAGGGATGCGCCCATCAAGTTATCCATTTACCTTCATACTGTTATAGACTGGAGAGAATGAAGAGAGAAAAGTATCGATGGCAGAAACTATTGTATGTAATTTATTGAGAATTGAATTTCTACGTTCGTAGGTTAGAATTAGAGATGCGAGGGTATAATGGTTATTTGGGAAAAAAAATTTAATTTCTAATACTCCCCTGAATGACTAACACAACTACTTCGTTAAAAACCTTGTATGAGACAAACTAAGGAAAAATGTATATAGTCAACTGTAAAAGAATTTGGGGTATCAAGATATCGACTCGGTAAAATCTTTTCAAGAAATTTCAGTGGGATAGTACGTGGATGAATGAAAAAAGAATATAGTTAGTTCCCCTAAATGTTGATCACTGAGGAATATTTGTGTTGAACATCAATATCTTGTAAGCCAACGTCTTTAATGCTACAAGTTTAATCAAATATTTTCATATTGTCTCATTATAACATCAAACTAATATTATTTTCATACAAGATATTCATCTATCACCGACTGATTGATGTCAACATGATGATAAATTCGTAAATTACAATTACATTGCAAACAAATATTGTTGTTACTCTCATGAGTGCAATATTTATAACGCTCTTTCGATTTTCATCATACAAATAATATGCATCGTTAAAGCTTTCTAAAGAAAAAAATATGTTTAAAATTCTTTGATATATTCAATGAGTTTATAGCCTTTACAGATAGGTTTGAATAATTTCATCACAACGGGGTTGATCATTGCAATTGTTAGTCTTCAACAATAAAATCTTCGAACGAGTTTGTTGTCAGTTCATATTAATTAAGTTTTCACCTTTTGTATGCATTGACCATCCGAGCACATGTATCTGTATCTAGTTTAGACATTCCCTCTCCATTTTGCGACGATTTCTTTGGAAGAAAGAAAAGAAAAGGAATTAATAAAAAAGAAAAAGCATAAAGATTTTATGGAGCTGTTGAAGACATAAAAGGTACAAGAACTAAAAAGTTTGTTTATGAGTCATTTTCAACCTTGTACTACTAGACTCATGTTCCTCAAATCTTCTCCCTCATGATCTCTCCATATTATTTCATAAAAAGTCAGAATCCAAGCTGCAAAAGTATCTAAGAAAGCAGATCGTTCTTAAAATTCAAATGGGCATATTGAATTTTTTCAAATTTACTCTTTTATGCATTGATTTTCTTGCCTGGTAAAATCCTACACTTCACTTTTTACCTCAATTTGACGTAAAAATGCTGGATCAGTCTGAAAAACCCAGTTTTCATGCTGTGTTTTGATCTTTGCGTACTGATCCCTTTATTTCTCTTTCTTTGCCATTTTTTCTTAAATCTGTTTGTATACATTTGTACGATGTAAAGTATGTCCGTACGTATGCTTGTATTTTTGTACGTATACTTATATTTTCTTGTCTGAATATTACTTGCAGGCCTATGTTTGCTCTGGGCTATCCTATGTAAGCTCCACCTTTGATGTGTGTATTTTTTTTTTCCTATGGTATTTTTTATGATGAAATTTAATCATTTTTTGGATTGTTTCAGATGTGCTTCAATCCGAGCCATTGAAACTGGATCCAAATATCACATGAGAAAATTGGTCATCTATTGGACCCTTTTTGCTCTCATTTATCTGTTTGAATTTGCTTTCATCAAACTCATTGAGTGGTATGTTTTAGTTGCTATAACTTTCTAGTCTTTTTTAGACTTGTATTCAATACTACATACCAAATATACACTCGAGGCTACATGATACAATTTCCTCGTGTTATTTCAGGATACCACTATGGTCTTTTATAAAATTCATAGCCATTTGCTGGTTAGTTTTGCCTCAGTTTGATGGTGCTTGCTATGTTTACCAAAGGCTTGTGAATCCTTGCTTGTATGTCAATCTACGAGCTTTAGTTGGCCGGCTTTGCAGACCAAATGATGAGCAAAGCCTTACGACAGAAACTCTCGTGGCAGTGACAGAGAGATACATTAAAGAGAATGGTTCCGAAGCCTTTGAAAACCTTATGAAAAGCAAGGTCAGCAACACGTTACATGTTCGTCTATCTGGAGCTTAAGGTTTCCTAATTTTGGGCTATGTATGTTTAATGAATTCTTTAAGTAACATATTAATGTTGCGGCTTTTTGTTTATGGCAACATAATAGAACTGTTTATAATTTGAGTTAGTGAAAATATGTTTTCGTAGTTCCTTGTTCATTCCCTAATGATCCATTCGTCTCTCTAAAATTAGCTTAAATGCATAGAACCTGATAACGTTCCGAAAGATATCAAACAGCTGGAATCAAGAGATAAAATTGATGCAGAGAC